AAAAAAAAAATTAGCTGGGCCCGGGCACGGTGGCTCACACATGTAATCCCAACACTTTGGGATGCTGAGGCGGGCAGATCACCTGAGGTCAGAAGTTCGAGACCAGCTTGGCCAACAAGATGAAACCCCTATCTACTAAAAACACAAAAATTAGCAGGGTGTGGTGGCACACACCTGTAATCCCAGCACTTTGGGAGGCTGAGGCAGGAGAATTGCTTGAACCTGGGAGGCAGAGGTTGCAGTGAGCTGAGATTGCATGATTATACTCCAGCCTGTGCAACAGAGTGAGACTTTGTCTCAAAGAAAAAAAACAGTTGGGCTGATGATGTGCACCTGTAGTCCTGGCTACCTGGGAGGCTGAGATGGGAGGATCCCTTGAACCCAGGAGTTCAAGGCTGCAGTGAGCTGTGATTGTGCTACTGCAATCCCTCCTGGGTGACACCGTCCCTGCCCTTGTGAATCCTAAACATTTAAATGCATGGTTACAGGTAGTGCCAAGTGCCATGAGGGAAAAGGGGCCCAGGCTCTATGAGAGAGTGGTCAGGGAGGGCTGATCACTTTTATCGGGAAGTTACTTTATTTATTTATTTATTTATTTTGAGACGGAGTTTTGTTCTTATTGCCCAGGCTGGAATGCAATGCCATGATCTCGGCTGACTGCAATCTCTGCCTCCTGGGTTCAAGTGATTCTCCTGCCTCAGCTTCACAAGTAGCTGAGATTACAGGTGCCCACCACCATGCCCAGCTAATTTTTTGTATTTTTTTTTTAGTAGATTCGGGGTTTCACCATGTTGGCCAGGCCAGTCTTGAACTCCTGACCTCAGGTAATCTGCCCACCTCGGCCTCCCAAAGTGCTGGGATTACAGGCGTGAGCCACTGCACCTAGCTGGGAAGTGACATTTAAGCCAAGTCTGCAGATGCCAGGTGTTAGCAAGTCGAGAAAGAGGGAAAAGCAACCCAAGCCAAGGGAATAAATAGCACGTGCAAAGCCTGGAGGTGGGAAAGCGCTTGGGCCACTGTGGCCGTGGGAGGCCAGTGTCGGGGGAGCGCGGGGTAATGGGATCAGAGTGAAGCAGGGGAGGTTCGGAGGGAAAGGAGCACACAGGACCTGGAAGCTATGCCAAAGATTTGCTGTTTCATTCCAAGGGCAATGGCGAGAAGGCATTAAGAGTTTTAAACAAGGGGGGGATGAGATGAAATGTGTGTGTCATAAAGATTACTCAGCTATGGAAAATGGGCTTGGGAGTGTGAGAGTGACCCTGGGGAGACCTGGGGCACTGGGTGTTGGAGTTTACCCCCGCCCTTCCTAGAGCCCAGCTTTACCCTCTGGGCCTGTGTCTTCAGCAGACGGCCTGGGTAGGCTGTCACCAGAAGCAGGAGCTATGGGAATTTTCCCAGCATGCATGCTGAGGAGCCCAGGGCTGTAATAGATTTACTAACAAGGGAGAGTCTGAGATCAAGCTCTGCTAAGTTAAAATGAAACAGATCACTTTGCAGCAGGACTTCTCAGAGGCTTTGATTGGGAACTGTAGCTGGTGAACCCTGAGGAAGGGCCTAGAACATACCATGTTCTATACTGATTGTGAAACTGTGTTTTCCATTGAATATTTTGCTACCAAACCCACTCTTGAGAAACTGCTCCATTTCCGCTTTGCCTTTCTGGGGCATATATGTAAATTAACATGCTTAATTCTCTGTCTCACAACCTCTGTTCAGGGAAGTAGAACACCATCCTCTTTAGTTACTGATGGGGAAACTGACGGGCTCGGTGTCTTGTGCCTGTGATCTTGGGGAGATGAACTGTTAGTCTCAGTCAGCCAGCGAATCACAAGGGCATCCTGGAAGATTGTGGGATGTCAGCCTCTTCCTCTTGTCCTGTCCATGTCTTGCGACAACACTGCCTTGTCCTGTATACTTAGGGACATCACCATTAGTGGCCACCTCTCCTGACTCTCCCGATCACTTTCCTTTCCTCATGATCTCTAATTTTTTATGAGATGAAGTCTCTCTCTGTCGCCCAAGCTGGAGTGCAATGGCACGATCTCGGCTCACTGCAACCTCTGCCTTCTGAGTTCAAGTGATTTTCCTGCCTCAGCCTCCTGAGTAGCTGGGACTACAGGTGTGTGCCACCATGCCCAGCTATTTTTTTGTATTTTTATTAGAGACGGGGTTTCACCGTGTTAGCCAGGCTGGTCTCGATCTCCTGACTTCTTGATCTCCCAAACTGCTGAGATTACAAGGAGCTACCGTGCCTGGCTTTTTTT